GAGTGCATTCGACAACGGGGCGCGACAGCTGAAAGAGCTGGAGCAGCAGATCATCAGGGCGGCACAGATTGGGGGTGGGGGTGGGGGGTGGGCCGGCAAGAATGCGACAGCATGTAGTGGACAGCAGAATGGGACGGCGTGCAGCCAGCAGACGCAGCAGACGGCAGAGGGAGAGCGAGACACCGCCAGAGGAGGTCTGCCGCCTTCGTATGACGCTACGTGTCGGTGGTTTGCTGAGCGGCCGGTGTCGACACGGACGCTCGTCAGGCCCGTGTAGCAGTGGGAAGCTGTAGCCACGTGTGTATGTCATGTGTACAGTGAGCCAATGGAATGGAATGATGTGTGTGTAGGGGGCGGGGCAGGCAAAAGCGTCACATCAAGACAGACACCGAGGTGTGAATATCTGTCCGTATCAACTGACCTTTCCTTTCTGTGCTCCACGGACGTCAACAGCTAATGTACACCCACACGCCGACCCGACGCACATGGACAGGCACAGGCACAGGCACAAGTGTGGCCGCGTGCCGTGGCCGCGCAAAAAAGCATGCGAGCAGCCAGCCAGCCAGCCAGCCATTGATCGCTGATCCTTCCCTTCATTAATCAGAAAGATAAGACAGACAGACTGCACCCGACAAACCAAACCAGTACACATGCACCCATCAATCACATCAACCAAGCCGAAAAACCGGCTGGCTGTTTGGCATTTCACTCCCACACTCCCCCACACACAGACACACACATACTCGACTCGTTCTCTCTCATGTCATGCTATGCGGCCCCCCTACAAGGGAAGAACGGCTTGTCGGGCGGCCTGGGAATGAAGTCGATACAGTGTGGGACGGGGCAGACGGCCTGGCAGAGCCCGCAGCCCGTGCACTTGTCCTCCACCACCTTGGCCAGATGCGTCACGGGATCGAACGTGATGGCCTGGTAGGCGTTGTCTGCACACACGGAACACACGCACACACGGGGATGTGGTGTGGTATCGTGTGGGTGAGAGAGGGGGTGGATGGAGGGTGGGAGGGGGGTCTCTGCTAACTGACCGTTGCAGGTCATGTAGCACTTGCCGCAGTTGATGCAGAGGCTCTCGTCGATGAGGGCCAGCACCTGCTCGCTTCGCTTCAAGTCGTTGTGCGGCTTCACGTACTTGCGCACAGACACACCTACACACACACACACACACAGACACACACACCAGTTGCCCCGTGTGTGTGGATGGGTGCAGCTGTGCTGCACCACTGTGTGTGGCGGGGGAAGGATACCGATCAAATCGTCGATCTTGCCGGGCGTGACGGTGTCGGCGTGCGCGTCGATAACAGGATTGGTGTACTCCTGACACACACATCCAACACACCCAACACACACACACACACACAGACGCCCACATAACTGCATTGTGTGTGTGTGCGTTGGCTTGGCCCCCTCTTGCCCACCCGACCGACTCACTCACCTCAGCAGTTGGTGTGGGTGGCGTCTGTTTGCCGCGCTCCTCCCGCATGGCGATCCTCCTCTTCTCAAACGCACCGAAATGGGGCAGCTTCGCGTACGCACTGCCATCTGCACACCCATCCCCACACACCACACACACACACACAGACACACACCAAGACATATATGGGCGTGGAGCATGCCGCAAGCTGCGCTGCGATGGATCCGATCGTTCCAACAAAACCAACCTCTGGAGACGGGAGGTGTCTGCAGGTTCCACTCGCTGAGGTCTTTTCTGCCCATCATGTAGAGGTGCGCCTTGAGCCCCGTGACGTAGTCGTCAATAATCGTGAAGTCCTGGTTCTGAATCGCACTCCCCACCTGCCGTCAATGCCGCACACCACACAAGTTTGTTCTCCATCCATCCATCCCACATGGCCGTGAGTGAGCAGGTAAGATGCCGTACCTGGCAGACTGAGGCGCCCATCATCATGTAGTTGAGAGCACTGTGGGCCGAGGAGATGCCCCCAGTGGCCATGATGGCCAACCCGGGGCAGAACTTGGCTGCACACACACACACGTGGACGCCCACACAATGGGTGTGTGAGTGTGTCTGTCTGTGTGAGTGCAAGCATCTGAGCATTGATCGTACTGATGGTTGCGCACGCCCTGAGCCCCAGCGGGCGGTTCACATCGCCGCTGACGCCGCCAGAAGTGGTGAGCTTGTCGTTGCCGACTTTGGGCCAGGCCTCACCCCTCCCATCCAGGTCCATGAAGCCAGACCTGTGCACCAGACGCGCACACACATGGCATGGCCATGCTCAGACGTGTGTGAGGTGAGTGAGGGTGGGGGGAAGCGGCGTGGCATGGTGTACATGGTGTTGATGGCCGTGACGCCGTCGGCGCCGCCTCTCTGCGCCGCCTGTGCGATGCAGGCGATCTCCGTCACGTTGTTGGTCAGCTTGACAAACACGGGCACCCTCCTGCAGTCCACACACAGGAAACACTCACAGAGACAATGCACTGCACACGTGTGTGGTAGGGTGGGAGCCCACCCGGCGAAGCTCTTGACCCATTTGGTGATCTCCTCCACTATGATGGGCTCCTGGCCACACGCCTGCAGACCGAACCGACACACAGTGAGTGACGGCAGCAACGTTTCTGTGTGTGTTTGTGTGCGGATGCACTGGACACTGAGTCACTGACTGACCAGTCCCATGCCGACTTCGCCCATGCCGTGAGGACAGGAGAGATTCAGCTCCAAGGCATCAGCACCTGCACACACACACAGGCGCATGCAGATGTCTGTGTGTGTCGGTGTTCTCTCAGCCCAACCAACCATCCAATCAAGCACAGACCTGAGTCGACGGCCATTTCGGTGATCTCTTTCCACTCATCCTTCTTGCGCGGCACCATTATCGACGCGACAACCTGCACACACATACACATACACGAGTGTCGGGGTGTGTCTGTGTTGGGGGGGGGGGTACGTACAACTCGGTCAGGGAAGTCCTGCTTGAGCTCCCGAATGGACGCGCACCAGTAGGCCGCCGTCTTCTCGGTGATGAGCTCAATGTTGAGGAAGCCGGGCTGACCTGCGCACACACACAAGATGCTAGCATCTCATCTCCGTAAGCAGACAGAGCAATTATACGGCTGGCTGCACGTATGTGTGCGAACCTGGCCCATAGTGGTTGCTGAAAGTGCCCCTGACGATGCGCGGCGATATGTTGGTGACGAGGTGCTTGTCGAGGGTGAAGGTCTTGGTCACCGCAAAACCCCAGCCCAACTCAAAGGCCCGGCGAATCATGGCTGGAATCACACAAACATATAGAGAGAGAGAGAGAGAGGGGAGGGAGAGTGCAGGAGTGTCCGTTTGTGTGTGTGGCCGGGCTGCCGACCAGCTGAGGTTGAGCACGGTGCGCTTGCGAGGCCGAATGGGTTGGGGAACTTGAGACCGCACATCTCCACCTGCACACACACACACGCACACGCACTCGTGTGTACCCGAGGCTTCTCGCTTACCGAGATGTCAACGAGGTCGATCTGAGACAGGCAGACAGACAGACAAGACATGCTCGCCTCCTGTGTCCCAACCAACTACCACACACACATACGTACGTACCGGTGTGTAGAAGATCGGCAGCTGAGGCGACGAGGGAAGCCGGGCATCTTCATACACACACACACACACACAGAGACACATGACCGATCTCTCTCTCTCGGTGTGGGGTGTGCTCGAATCCTCGCCTACAGGGTGTGTCGTAGGTCTTCTGCAAGTAAGTGTGTATGTTCCAGGCGGCAGTCTTGCCGTCGTTGGCCGCCTCAACCGTCATGTGGGCTCCCGCGATGTCGCCCCCGGCAAACAGCCAATCGGCCGACTCGCTCTGCAGCTTTGAAGTCACCTGCACATCACAGATGTGGATCCATTCATTCATGCCGTCGGTGTGTGTGTGTGTGTGTATCTATGGGTGCGCGAATCTACCTTTGCTGTCCCGGAAGTGTCGAATTGCAAGGGCGCGGCTGCTGATTTGATGTCATCGGGGACTGTGCAGCTGCACAACAATCGCACGGTGTGGCAGAGACATAGACGGAGGAGTGAGTGGCCGGCCATGTGTGTCTTGTGGGTGAGTGTACCCGAAAGCGGTGATGATGGCGCTGCACTTGAGGTTGTAGGTGCTGCCCTCCTCCTCATACACACCTTCACACACACAGACACCAGACAGTCACACAGCGACACATATGCGATGGATGCCCTCCCATACGTCGGTCGTATGGCCATACCATCTTCGTTCTTCTCCATCCGCACCAGCTCCAGGTACTGTTTGTGCGTTTTGTTTGTTGGCACAGACAGACAGACAGACAGACGCGCACACAGTCATCCACACAAACCGTCTGTGTGTGTGTGTGTGACGATACGTACGTTGACGCGTCCGTTGGCATCGAGCTTGACACTTCTGGGCAGACTCTCAGGAATGAAATCGGCCAGCTCCCTGCACAGATAGATGCACACACACGCCACGTGGCGTGGCGTATTCGAACACGTGTGTGTGGTGTGGTGTGGTGTGGATGGTGGCAGGGCAGGGCAGGGCATGGCTGACCTGATGGCGAGTTCCCTCTCCTCCGGCACCGCCCGCATGTCGCTCCAGCACTTGCGGAACACTATTGACACACGCTTGGCGCCGCAACGAGACGCCTGGACGGACACACCGCACATATATATGCACACGCAGTCATCCATCCATCCATTCATTTACCCACCGATGTGGCGCAGTCGAATGCGGTGTCGCCGGCGCCCAGCACGACGGCGTGTTTGCCGAGGTCGGGGAGGGTGGCCTTGCACCCACACACGCCAGGCTTGGAGGCGTTGGCCACGGCCGGCAGGAACTCTTTGCTCGTCCACACACCCTGGACAGCCCCACCCACACACACAGACACACAGACACACACATGCATGTGTGTGCGTCTGGCGGGGTGTGTAGGTGTGCGGACGTTTTCCGGAGTGAGGTCTGCAAAGGGTGCTGATTTCTTGGCCTTGTACAATCCCACACCTGCACACACACGCAAACACTGGTCTGTCTGGTGGCATGGATCTGCGACTGAGATTGGATTGGAGGGACACCCTGACTGACCGATGAACACTGCGGCGTATCCCTGATGGTCCCGCAGAGACTGGACGGTGAAGTCGCGCCCCAGCTGTTGGTTGTACTTGAAGTCCACCCCCATGTCGGTGCACAGCCGGGTCTCAAACAAGACGGCGTCGAACGGCAGACGGTACTGGGGAATCTCACTCGTTGACAGCTGACATACATAACATAACATACACAACACACAAGTAGAGAGAGATGGATGGGTGCATCCCACACACGTGTGTGTGTGTGGTGGGGCGGGGGGGGGGGGGGGGGGGG